CACCGTCCCCAGCACACCACCTGGAGGCCCTTCGGTCGGGACCTCAGCCACACGAGGGTCTGTACCCAAACGTGAGGGGAAGGCCTTGACCAGGACCCTTAGCGCTGCCTGGCAGTTTCCAGACAATACTGTCTCTAAAAACAGATGACCTGCAAAGCGAGTGTGTTTATAGTTCAACGGCCTTGGGCGCCTGGGTGGCTCAGTCGGTGAAGCATCCGACTTTGGCTCAGGTCCTGGTCTCACGGTTCATGGGTTCAGGCCCTGCGTCCAGCTCTGGGCTGACAGCTCAGAGCCTGGAGTCTGCTTCGGATTCTGGGTCTCTGTCTCTCTCTGCCCCCACCCGCCCGCTCATTATTGTCTCTCTCTCTCTCTCTCTCAAAGGTAAATAAACATTAAAAAAATTTTTTTTAAGTAAATGCTTTTCTCTTGAAAAAAATTTAAAAAAAGGAAAAAAAAAGGGGGCGCCTGTGTGGCTCAGGTAGTTAAGTGTCCAACTTTGGCTCAGGTCATGATCTCACTGTTTGTGGGTTTGACCCCCATGTCAGGCTCTGTGCTGACAGCTTGGAGCCTGGAGCCTGCTTCGGAATCTCTGTCTCTCTCTGCACCCCCCACCCCCGCTCATTATTCTCTCTCTCTCTCTCAAAGGTAAATAAACATTAAAAAAAATTTTTTTTTAAGTAAATGCTTTTCTCATACACACGTGAACCCATATGCACACACGTGTGCACTCATACCCATTCACAAATACACGTACACATTCATATGCTCACGTGCACACACAGGCACACGTGTGCATGCTCACGTGTGTTTGCACTGTGCACACACACTCATATACACACGCGTGCACACACGTTCACACACACAAGCCTGTGACCTACACTGTGAGAACGAGGAGTGGGAATGTCAGAGGGCAGAAGAGACAGCCCACGGGCTGCTGAGGGTTTGTGTCTGGATTCGGTCCCGGATCTTCCTTCCTCCAAACCCACGTCCTTCCCACTCTCTCCGCTCGGACAGAACACGCGTTTGGATAAGTGACTCACTCGGGGGCGGGCATGCAGCCTTGCTCAGGAAAACCGCGACAAAGAAGCCGGGGGGCAGGGGGACTCCCTGACTGACACCTGCCGGGCGCAAACCTCACATCCCCGCGGCAGCTCGCTGCGACAAGCTCGGGGCCTGGAGCCGGCCGTGGTGGTGACCCTAACCCCCCTCCCCCGCCCGCCCCTTGCCTCTCCACCTGCTCCTGCTTCACAGGACAAAATGCTTCCTAAGGCCCAGTTGTACAGATACAGGATCTCAGGAGACCACGAACTTTTCTTAACCCGCTTTTGCTTCTGTGTCACGTGATCTAGTGTCTGAGTCGCCGAAGGAAGGCCTCTGCCCGGGACGCGAAAGCAGAGCGGAGACCCGTGAACCCGGAAGAACCAACCGTCAGGATCCTCTCCTTCACAGGCGAAGAGTTGACCTCATGCCAGTTCTTATGCTGAGCCTCGCGCTTGTCTATGTAGTAACCCAGGATGGGGGCCCCGCCGCTGAACCTGGGCACCTTCCAGCCCAGCGTCATGGAGTGGCCGTCGCAGTTCAGAAGCGTGACCCCGTACGGATGCGAGGGGACAGCTGCAGGGACACAGGGCGGGAGGGTTACCCCAGAGTCGTCCTGGGCACCCCCTGCCCCATGGGGCGGCTCCTGCACTGGGGTAAGGGGGGGCAGGCGGCAGCTGGGGGGGGTGGCGCCCAGACTCGACCCATCATTGTGTGTTTTCATCTCTTCCTTTGAAGAGAGGACGCGTCCGTCGTTATGTGTTTATTGCTATTTCTAAACACATCCCCCAATAAATAACACAGGCACACAGACATCTTCCAATACTTCAATAATACAAGGGCGATAAATTATTGAAATCTGGCCCGGGTGGCTGAAATATGAGATTCCTCCCCCTCCTCTGGGGAAAGCCTTGAGGAGCCGTCTCATCACATCCATGAACGACACCTGTGCCCCCGTGACCAGAGATGATGAACGTCACAGATGCCAGAATCACTCAAGTGAGCCCAAATTTGTATTTTCCTTCTGAACCCATTTGGAAATGGACCATCTTTTCCTACTGGGTTGAAGAGGGACACGCCTCTGCTCCCCCACCCCCAACTCTGGGTGACCTACGCCCAGCCGTCCTCTGTCACCTGAGACACAGGTGACCCAGGAAAGATCCGTTCTCATCACAGAATAAAAATGTAGACGATTGCTTTTCGTTTAGTAGAAAGGACTCGAAGAAGAAAATGGTAACGTTTGGAAGTCCTTCCCGGGAAAAACTGAGAGATTAGAATAGTGACCTTAAAACAAAAGAGTAACTGATTTTTTTCTTTTCTTTTTTTTTTTTCTCTATTTCCCACCTAAGTGTTATCGGACCCGACATTCCTCGGAAATTCCGTAACACTGCGTATCGTCAGAAATCGTAAGTAAGCCCGCGGGTTACTCACTGAGAGCGGCCTGGACCTTGATGACGTCCGACTCCTGAGAGTTTTCACTTGTGCCGACGGCATTCACCGCCTTCACCCGGAACACGTACTGCTCACCGGTGGTCAGGCCGTGCACCACGAACCTGAGGGAGACACCAGTCAGGGGCACGACTATGTGGCTGAACCGTTTTTCTCTCTCCCGCAGCACAAGTACAAATCGTGGGGGACACGCCAACGTTTTTTCCACGGGGGACGAGAAGGAATGTTACTCTGAGTCAAGTTGTGTGCACACGGTATACATGGGTTCGTGCTGTCAGTTTTAGCTTTCTGATGCAAACCAGCACGCGGGGTCAGGAAGGAAGGCGGCGTGACGCCTCGCTACGCCAGGAGCTGGAGGGGCACAGGTCTGGGGGCACGGAAAGCAAGCCCCTCAGATCCTAAGCGCCCCTCTTCCTCCGTGTCACCCACGTGCTCTGCGCCCCCCCCTCCCCTTCGCTTCCCCAGTTACCAGGTTCTGTCTGAATCACACGTCTATCACGAAACAGCATTCAAGTCCTCATCTAAAAGAACCCACGTGTGGAAGGCTTAGAAGCAGAAGCGTTCCGGACACGGAAGGGACCCTAGTCAGACGAGGCTCGAACACTGGCCTCCACACTCAACAGATTTGGGCCCCTAGTCACGTGCCTCCCCCTTGGTGAGGCTGCTAGCCCATCTGTGAAACGGGACATCGGCCCCCTCCTCCAGCACCCCTGGCAAGTGTCACCCGGGAAACGGCACAGGAGGATGTGGGTTGCCCCGCACAGGCCGGTGCTCTGCCGGTCCGCGTAAGCGGTCACCGCTTGCCTCACCGGGCCTGTGAACGTGCTGTGACCTTCTACAAAACTCCGGCCTGAGAATGCTATTTTCACTTCTTTGTTCTGAGATCTCTTTCTGTATTTGCCGCCCGTGAACTCTAAATAACATCTAACCAATGCTCTCAGTTGCATCTCTTCTTTCGCAGCCACGGCCTTTTCCAATCTATTACTTTCTTAAGAAGACTGAAATGGGAAAGACGGCTGAGCCATCACTGACCGCCCGTCCATGGTGCAGAGCCGGACAGCTGCCTCTGTTTTCTGGAGCAGCACATCCTGGAGAGGGCCTAACAGGGTCTGACATTCTGCACCCTTGGCAGGAAAGGGGAGTGCGTCGATGCCGGAGTGAAGACGTTCCCTCCCACGGCAGGAGGGGCCCAGGTCCCCTGCACCAGAGATGGGACGTCCCCCAGCTTTGTCTCAATCGGTGGTAGAGTGCGGGCTCTCACTTACGCGAAGGAAGCAATTTTAAAAGTTCGAAAAATCAACACGGAAAAATAAAACGCCTCTCAGGTCGCGGTTGCGACTGTAACTTTCCCGCTGGAAGGGTAGCCTTAACTGCTCCCGTGTCGGGAGAGTCAAGGTTCTGGAGCCTCCTCTGTCATGAACACACTAATCGTTTCAGGCATGAGCCTGGGGACCCGAGCAGCCTGTCAGCTCTGGAGTCCTGTGCCCCTTACGTGGGCATAAGAAACAGACCTTTGTGTAGAGGCTCATGGGCGTGGGCGCCACGGCGTGGACCGCTCTGAGCCTGAGCGGCTCCTGTCTGGTTTTGCGTCTCCTACTCTGTCCCCTCACATGGCAGTTCTGGGGCCCCCGCAGGGCCACACCTGTTGTAGCCAATGGGCTTGTGATTGCACGGCTCCCAGACGTTGGACCCCGCCACGGAGCAGTCCACGTAGTAGCCGAGGAGATCGTCTTCCTGCTTGGGTCTGTCCCACCGCACGACCACTGACGTCTTCGTGTTCCGCGACGCCAGCACCCGGCCAGGGGCAGAAGGCACGGCTGTGCAGGGGAGACACGGTGACAGATGGGACACGGTATCAGAGTTTTGGAAGCTGTACCACAGACCCTTGAGCCCTTGTGTCCACAGGGAAGGACGACCTGAAATCTGCACAGGGAGGGAAGTGGGGGGCAGGCTGCCACCCGGGGAGCCAGAAGGTGCCGGACATTCCTCCGTCCTCCCAAGTCCTACCCGACTCACAAAGGAATTACAACCACCGAATCTCCCATACCCCCACCAGAAAAGTTGTGCGTTGAGAGCTGACCTTAACTTGGTTGAGTGTCCAACTCTTGGTTTCAGCTCAGGTCATGATCTCACGGTTCATGAGATTGAGCCCCACATCAGGCTCTGTGCTGACAGTGCTGAGCCTGCTTGGGATTCTCTGTCTCCCTCTCTGCCCCTCCCTGCTGGTTCTCATTCTCTCTCTCTCTCTCAATAAATAAAACAAATAAATAAAAAATAAATAAAAAGCATATTCTGATGACACACATACTTTGGCTAACAGGGTAGTTAACAATTTCTGGAGGGTGAAATGACTGATTTTAAGAAAACAAGACACACTTCTATCAGATTGATCAGAAACTTGACGGGATTCCAAATCTAATCATAACTTGACCATAGATTTTTCTCACCGGTGCAATTCAGAATTTCTGTAACTCCTACTTGACATCTTCCAAGAGGGAACTTGAAGCCATACGGGCAAGGAGTTCTGGTGTGTTCAGGGTTTTTAAAAAGGTGGCCAATGCCTAAAAATATTTCTAACCCATTTATTAGTTCCATGAAAATAAGACAGAGGGGCACCTGGGCAGCTCAGTCGGTTAAGCATCTGACTCTTGACTTTGGCTCAGGTCATGATCTCATAGTTTAGGAGTTCAAGCCCCAAATCGGGCTCTGCGCGGACAGCACAGAGCCTGCTTGGGATTCTCTCTTTCCCTCTCTCTCTGCCCCTCCCCTGCTCACAAGCTCTCTTTCAGTCTCTCAAAATAAATAAGTAAACTTAAAACAAGACAGAACTTTGGAGAAATGTTGAGTACCAACCAACACAGGGCAAAGAGATCTCTGTCTCCTGTAAAATGAAATTTTAAGACAGCTTGAATTTTAACTCCCATACAACATGAATTGTCTTTTTCAACACAACATGATGGCCTCTGATGTCAGTGACTCAGGGCCTGTCCGCAGCTGTGGTCGCTCACGGACATGACCGTACTCACCAATCATATCCTGGGCCTGAATGGGGGCGGTGATCTCCGATGGTTCGCTCAGGCCATGTTTGTTGGCTGACAAAACCCGGAACACGTATGGCTTCCCTTCAGCAAGGTCAAAGACGGCGTAGCGAGGGGACCGCACGGCCGTCTGGGCGTTGACCCGCTGCCAGCTCCCGCTTCCGACCACCGACTGTGAAGAGACATGGGATTCGCCAAAGGAAGCCAAGAACTGCCCAAACACATGCTGACGGAACCATTCTGCTTTAGCTAGCCAAACTAATCTCTAGGGACGTCCGGGGGTAGAGCGCATCCTGGGCCATCAGTAAACCTTTCCTGAATCACGCGAAAAGGGAACTCAACCAGGAAAAGTAGGTAAGAAATTACCCCAAGTTGGAAATGCTCGGCAGTAAAAAGTTTTACGTGAAAGCAAATAAACTTCAAGGAATTAACACATAGGTTGTAGTTTTAGTAAAGTGGAATGAACTGTAAAGAATTAAAGATAATTTAAGATATTCATAAAATTCTATCGTAACTCAACTGGTCACATTTCAATTTAAAATGTACAGTATTTTGCGACTATTATCGTAGTAACAGCAATCTACCTAACCAGCAGCAACGTAAGACGCGCTATGATACATCCGTACATTGGAGAACGTAGCCACTTAGGCTACCTTATAAAAATCCTAAATCGGAGGAGAGTGACTGTTTTGCTAAATGTAACACAGGATGCCAACTGTACTGATGACATATAAAGTATACAAAAGACTATAGAGAAAAAGACTCTTAATATATGTATCACACGTTCATCATGACTATTTCAGGGGTGCCCGGGGGCTCTGTCAATTAAGTGTCCAACTTCGGCTCAGGTCATGATCTCATGGTCTATGAGTTCGAGCCCTGCATCAGGCTCTGTGCTGATGGCTCAGAGCCTGGAGCCTGCATCGGATTCTGTGTCGCCCTCTCTGCCCTCCCCCACTCACTCTCTCCCTCCTTCTCTCACTCTCTCTCTCTTCCTCAAAAATAAATACTTTTTAAAGCATAATGACTGTTTCAAATGATGGAGTTATCAGTGATTTTCATTTTATTCTATATAATGTCTCTGTATTTCCCAAACTTCCCATACTGCAGGTTTCGTTTTTATCATTTGATTTTCTCATCACTGATAATTATTTTTTTAAACTTCAGTTACAAATTTCACTTAATTGTTTCCTATAGAGAAAGATCCCCCTTCCTGAAGGGATCCTGAGGCAGCAAAAGCACGTGCACGGTGACCCTTGGAAAGGCTCCCAAGAACAGTGAAAGCATTTCAAATGACCCCGGGCTTCTAGAAGTCAGAGTCACATTGAAAGCTGTCTCTCATTTCAGCAAGAGCGAAGTCACCGTCTAGGGGCTGGTGCAGGCACCCGTAGTCGGAGGCCCCCACACGCCCCCATCTGACACTCAGCTGGGGCCGAGCAGAGAGGAGGAGCCTCGCGTTGGAGGAATGACAACAGGGAGGAGGGAGGAAATACAAGGGGCTTACTGCCAAGCTTCTAGAAGCCCAAGAAAGGCTCGGGAGCCAGAGCTAAGTCGGGAGCTGCTCATCCTTCGGTGGAGGCTGGAAGGAAGTGTGTAGGTCCCCGTGCCTGGAGCAGGGCCCCCAGGGCATGCGTCTGGAGCACAAGAGCACTCGGGGCACCGCCAGCTTCACCTCAGGCAGACTAGCCACTGAAGCGGCCACTAGCCGCTGAACCACGGGCATCAGAAATGACCGGCCACTAGCCGCTGAACCACGGGCGTCAACACGGCGGGAACGGCCTGGGAGCCGTCCAGGAGCTACCCAGCAGAGGCGCAATCGCACTGAAACTCTGCTCCGGGTGATGCAGCAGGCCACCCGCTCGGCGTCTGGGTGCCGGGCTGCCGCCCCCCACTCTTGGTGTCAGCATAAAGTGGGAAAGAGGAATCCGTATTCCTGCGCTTCCTTCCGGGCCTTGACAGGAATGAAGTCACCACAAGATCACCTCAGACGGGCTGGGGGTAGACTGCCCGCCAGGAGCCCACACTCAGTGTGGCCCAGCTCCGGCCCCTCCCGGGGGCCTCACGCTGCTCCCCGGGCCCCCGGCGCACGCCGCCGGGCCCTGAACACTTCGCCCTGCAGCACTGCAGGGTCAGCCGCCAGATAAGGCAGCCCCGCAGGCCAGCGGTGAGGGCCACGGGGTCCGTCCACGCCCTGGAGGCTGAAATAGCGCTCACTTCATTTCCGCGTCTGCTTCCTCTAGTTGTACCACGCGCCGTTCCTGTGCCGCACGCACCTGTTACTTGCTCTGTCCCGTGTGTGTGCCATAAACGGCGCACTCCACACCACACTGTGGTGTAAGTGGAGGGTCACAAAACCAGACACGGGATCTGGACCACAGCGATTTTTCTCAATATGGCCCACAGCCCACTAGCAGGTCACTGAGCCCGTGAAGGGGTCAAAAGCTGTGTCCAGTGCTACGGGACAGACCAAAGTCGGAGCGCATCATAGCATGCGGTAAGGATGTCGCGGTTTGGGAGTTGTTGGTTAGACGTGTGCACGTGTGTGTGTGACTGTGTGCGCATGTGTGCAAGTGCATGCATGTGTGCATGTATGAGTGTTGTGTGCATGTGTGTGACTATGTGTGCATGTGTGCAAGTGCATGCATGTGTGCATATGTGTGTGCGTGTATGAGTGTGTGCATGTGCCCGGGTGTGCGTGTGTGCGCATGTGTGTCTGAGTGTGTGCATGTGTGTGCCTATGTGTGCTTGTGTACATGTATGAATGTGTACGTGTGTGTGTGCGTGTATGTGTGTTCGTGTGTGTGCAAATGTGTGTGTGCTTGTGCACATGTATGAGTGTGTGTGCGTGTGCCTATGCATATGGGTGTATGCGTGTGTGTCCACATTTATGAGTGTGTGCATACGTGTATGTGTGCTCACGTGTGTGCGTGTTTGTATGAGTGTGTGTGCACGTGTATGCATATGTGTGTGCGTGTATGACTGTGTGCATGTGCCCATGTGTGTGCGTGTATGAGTGTGTGCACGCATGTGTGTCCGTGTGTGTGCAAATGTGTGCATGTGTGCTTGTGCACATGTATGAGTGTGTGTGCATATGCGTATGGGTGTATGCATGTGTGCATGTGTGTGCACATTTATGAGTGTGTGCATACGTGTATGAGTGTGTGCTCGCGTGTGTGCGTGTTTGTATGAGTGTGTGCACACGTGTGTGCATATGTGTGTGTGTGTATGGGTGTGTGCATGTGCATATGTGTGTGCATTTATGAGTGTGTGTGCGTGTGTGTGCAGGGCTGCAATACACAGCTACTTCTCTCTGCGTCCAGACCTAGAGCCCTCCAGCCAAGAACCGGCTCTCCCGGCTAGCTGCAGTGTGAATCCCTGTACAAGACCGCCACCAAGTGGCCACACGACCTCTGAAGAAATGCAGAGCAGCAGCAAACGACCCTCCTGCCCACGTCTCACTTGTTCTCGAGTGAGACGTGGGAGCTAGACTGCGTCGGCAGGAAGAAAACATACAGATCCCCCATTTCGGTGCCTTCGTGGGGGTGGGGCGGCTCACTCACAGGAAGGCAGCAAACCCAGACCCGGGACGCAGTCCCCTGATTCCCACTTGCACGGCCGGGCTGGCCACGTGCTCACAGCACAGCCGGCGCCCTGGCGCCCTCAGAGCGCAACCCATTGAACAGCACAATGTGAGGGTTTACAACACACGGTACCTTCTCGATGAAATACATCAGCGGCTCCTTGCCGCGGGGAGTAGGCGGGTCCCAGCTGAGGACCACATACGTCCTGCTGATCTCTGAGGCATGCACGTTGGTGGGCGGCCCTGGGATCTGCACGTCGCCTGCAGGAGTGATGAACTCAGTTAGTGCTGGGTGTGCCCCATGTCCCCCCGTTCGCCGGAGCCCATCGTGGGAGCACGGTCCCCGGGGTACATTCCCAGGCACCAAAGATCTGCCCTATCAGTGACGTCCTCTGCTTCGCTTCTATTTGGGGACGGTAAGCAAACTATTTTTCCCAGCCAAGTCTAATGCACTGCTTAAGATCACCTAATTAGTTTTGTTTCTAACATAAGCCAGCTCATTAAAAAAAAAAAAAAGAATCTAATCCAAAAATCTTCCAGAGTTCCGCTGGAAGGGGAGGCGGGAAGATCCACCCGGAAGAAATAGAGTGCTTAACCAGAGTGGAGCTTTAGAGGTGCCAGGAACCCATGCAGAGGAGGTGCTCGCGGTCTGTGTTCCGCGATACGGAAGCCTTCTGGAAGGGGATTACCCTCGCTCTGCTGGTCCTCTGGGTTATTTTCCTCGTACTGCTCGCCCTCACAGCCCTGGGATCTGTACACCGACCTTCTATAGCCCGTCGTTCTTCCCTCCCTAGGGGGGCCCGGGCCACGTTCACAAGCACTGGAACCTATACCCACAGGTTTAAAATCCTGGAGTGACATCAGTAAGCCTCTTGCAAATAACTAGTTTGGAACATTTGTGATCGGAGGGGTCTGCTGTGCCTGGCTTGTGACACACCCCTTGCTTTAACACACGTGAAGGTGTCGGGGGCGTTATATCTGGAGAGAGCTTTTCATGAGATGTGGAGGTTTTCCAGACCCACAATCTCTGTAGCTGTGATACAAAATATTATGAGCTTCCGATTAGATTAGCACATGATTAAACCGGTTTGAACGTCCCCAGGACACGTCTGAGCCCTTCTCCATATCCCATTGCGCCCTGGGGACTGTGCAGCCGGCAAGGAACTGAACCACCGCATGGAGACGGGACAAACAAGACTGGGTCTGGTTTCCCAGGAGTCCTGTTACACATTTTACAGGCCACTCGGCACAGAAGGGTGTCGTGGCCTGATCTAGGAGCTTCCTGGCAAGGGGCTTGGATTCAAACAAGGACTCAGGGAGTCTCTCCAGGAAAGTGCCCAGTAAGGCCGGTGGAGCGGGGCCTCCGGACACCTGATGGGACCCACGCACTGCGTCCCCTCCTGAAGAGATCCGGACACAGCCCTGACGGGAGAAGATACAGGAACCTCGCCCTCGGGTGACGCGTGCCGAGCCCCCAGGGCTGCAGCCTGGTTTATGCTTTATGTCCAAGGTGCCGCAGGACGTGGGAGGCAAGCCCAGGGAACAGAGGGCGGCAAGGCAGGTGGTGAAGGCAGTAAGGACTTGTGAGTGCCCGCTCACAGAGCTGCCGTGCACGTGCTTTCAGATCTGAGCGTGTCACTGTTCTCAGACCCCGCACAGAGCTGCCAGGCCCAGAGAAAACGGAGCAGGAAGCATCTCGTCCGATGCTGGGGGAGAAGGAAGAGTCCCCGTTCGTGTCAGCAGGGGACCCCTGGCTGGGGCGAGATGCTTGGGTCCCAGAGCCTTTCGGCGTCAGGCCGACCCGCAGCGGCGGGAGCCTCGGGGATGCGCTGATGGCGTCAGCCACAGACAGCAGAGGGGGGTCAGGGAGGGGGACAAGGAGAGGCCACGGGCAGAACCCACCTCTGTTACCCACACTCCCAACAGCCGAGAGGAGGGCGCAGAGAGAAGCAAATGAAAGCAAACGGAGAGGACAGGAAACTCCAAGTGCGTTACCAGGTTACCCTGGGTGTCCCCGTGCCCAGGGCTGCGCATCTCTGGAGCCCACGGCGCTCCTGCGTGACTGTAGGTCAGCAAGCTGGGACGCTCTCCCAGGACCCAGCTCGCAGCGGTGGGGCAGGGGGCCCAGGCCCTGGTCCCCCGATCGCAAATCCTGCACTTGGTTCTCTCCACTCTGGGAGACTGCAACCCCCACAGGCTGCCCAGACGTCCCCTCCAAGTCAGTGAAACCTGAGCTTCATCCCCGGGATGACAGAGCCCGAGAGACGGTGCACGTGTTCAGAGCACACGGTGCCTTCGCCCCGGACGCCGGGTGTGCAGTTAGCGGAAGGCAACCATCTGCCTGGGCTGGGAGGCCTGTCAGCCCTTCCCAGAACGGACTGTGGGCCTTGCGAGCAAGTCAGGAAAGGTTGGGAAAGCTGGGCGACATTCAGAGAGGGGCACTGACCGTAATTAACACGTTTGCAAGGGGGGCTCCGGGGTGCCTTCTCTGACCCGCCTGCCCCTGACCTCGGACCATGTGTGGCCGCACCCCGGAGAGCTGGCGCCCCCTGGCTGGACTCTGGGAGTACCATGGCCCGTCTGAGCGTCTCAGCCCCTGGCCCGCGTGGCCAGACACAAACAGAGCCTCAGGAACACCGGCCACAGTGTGGATATAACGCAGCCACGTTCGAGGGCGCATCACACAAAATGAAGGCACCTGCCTTCTTGTAAGAAAGGAAGCATGAGAAGCATGAAAAGTGGGGTCTGTGACGTCACTCCAGTCGGAAATAAGATGCATGGCGTCTGTAACTCCCACTTATCAGCCGGAAAACAAAGTCTCTTACGTTGTGTTATTTCTTTGGCACTTAATAGCTGGCCGTTTACACCCAACACGTCCGTATCTATGTGCAAAAAGGCAGGTGTTCTCTGCAGACGGGCACGGGTCCTGCCACGGGAAGGTTTATTATATTATTTCTTACTCCCATTGCTTTGCACGGTGACCTTCACGTAATGCAAATTTCACCACTGATAGGCGTGGAGAGCAGCCAACGCCTCCTCGTTTGGGGTAATTTTATGTGAATTCCTACACACCCACTCAGGATGGCTCAGATGGTTCTCTCCTCACTGACCCATCACCCACCAGACGCGAACAAAAGAACTTCCTTTTCCTCGCTCCTGTCAAAAGCGCCTACGTTACCCAGGCTGGGGTGCTGCAGGAACCCCTCCTCCACTCTTAGCAGGACCAGATTTTACTTGTTCAAAGAGCAATGTTTCCATCGGGTATTTATGAAGCCACAGTTAAGTCAACCTTCCCTAAATTGTTTTTCTTTTGTCACTGCTTTCCTGGGCATCTCCCCCCATCTCTGAGAATGTCTGGAAGTGGAGGTCTCATCTGAGCCTTCAGATGTTCCCGTGGGGCTCAGCCAGGACTCTTAAAGGGCGTCCCTCTGGATGTTGGGTGTTGAGATACTAGAGAAAAACCATTTTAGGTGCAGAAGATTGCAAGCCTGGAGACATCTGGGGGCAAATATGGAAATCAACAAAGGACCCCTCAGTCTGCAGCTCCCTGAGGACAGAGCACTTGGACCACAGAGATTTCAAAGGAGACCTCGCTCCAAAGTACGTGTCCTGAGGCTCCAAACTCAACTTGCTTCGTTTTTAAGTTTTTCATTGTTCTCTATGAACTGTCCTTGTAAGTCCACGTAAGATCTTTGGCTTTGTGATTCATAACGCCAGGTTCCCCTCCTTAATAAATTCATCCTCCTCCCTGTCTCTGAGAGAACTATCTAGGAGAAGTGTTCATAAAATCCAGTATAAATGAGGGAAATGCAAACTTTCGGACCAGGGATACCGACCGCAAGAACTCACTCCATTTCGGTTAAAATGCTGGAAATACAATCTTGGCTTAAAGGGAAAAACTAAAATAGTCCTCCACTAACGGAGTCTGAGAGAAGGGGCCCCAGCCTCAGCCGGTGATCAAGGCTCAGATTCAGTTTGATCTTCTCTGCACGCCCCCAGGAGAATGCCGTAGTGAACCCTACACGGAAGCAATGAGGCCCCTTGAGGACCCCTGGATTCTAATCCTCTCCTCGCTCTGCCCTGCTTGTGCTTCCTGACTTCTACAGGCCGTAAGCACGCAGGCCTGACCCGTGGGTTTTATGTTTACATGTAAAGCCTGTGCTGACCAGCTGATCACACTCATCTCTACTTGCCACCCTGCATCCCCAGCTGAGACAAAGCGGTGAGAGGCCACTTACCCTCAAGGTCGTCCTGATACATCACGACTTCTTTATCCCCCTCCAAATGGACCGCTGCAGAGAGAAAGGTTGGTGCTCAATTTGGCATCCAATGGTTTCCTGAAGAAAGCCCAGCTTCCCTAACCGAGCGTGGGATCCAAATCACCTCCGCGTTATGATTACAGCATACTCCCGACTCTACAGGAATCAGCGTAGGTATTCCGAACAGGCTTAAGAGTTAGTGCTTCCCAGATCTTTGTACCGGATCAGAAAGACCGGGGGGGGGGGGGGGGCCGGTGGTAAGGAACACGTACGGGCTCACTTAAAACCACGACTGAGGGGCCCACCGTCCCATCCCTTTCGGGAATCTGGGTCGTGGGAAATTAAACTTCGGAAACAGAGCGGCCTGATCTCAAAGCCTTCTGAGTCTTAGCGTGTGTTGAGATCGCATCACCAACGGACTAAGAAAAGGCTAATTCTGAACCCAGCGATCTGGATTCCAGTGGAGGGGCATGAGGACGGCCGTGTGCGTTCGTGGTGAAGCACACGCTCCCGCCTGGCCGCCCCGCCCCTAACGCGGCCCCGGTGGACACACGGGCACCACGAAATATCACCGCCCCACGCTCGGCCCCGGGAGACGTTCTTAAGGCTCACATACAGCTGAGCACAGAAGACAACGTCCCAAGTTTCCAAGACACGACTGGAGCTTGAAATCTGCACGGCCTACCTTGTAACCTCCTGAGGTCTACGGGGTCAAGGGCAGCCACGGCCTCGGAGACTCTGGAAGGCCTGCTGATGCCCGCGCTGTTGACTGCCCTCACGCGGAATATGTAAGACCTCCCTTCAAAAAGGCCTGTCACGGGGTATTTGCAGATTTTCACAGGTGCGTCATTGCACTGAACCCAATTGTCTGTCCCCACTTCACATCTGTGAATTACAAAAAGAGTAGAGAATAACAAATACATCAGCCTAGTAAATTCACTCAGGTCTATACATCTATTCTACACACACGTGATGTATCTAGGACAACTGTAACAGGAAAATACCTTGCGTTGGTAGAAACCGATGCTGGTGAAGTACTGATTTATGTCAAAAGTAGTACAAATAAACCATAAAAGACAAAGTTACTTAGGAAATGTGAAATAGATATATTTATATATTTAAAAGCTTGATGACTTATAGCTTGAAAATCAATTCCTGCCTTCAACCACATTGAGGCAAAATGACCTCCAAAGATCACTCGAGGCGTATCCTTGATAGTCCTTTTTCTGACACACGTGGCAAAATCACAGGGTGCCCTAAGCTCCCCAACATGCCCAATGCCAGGGTGCAGGGGAGTGCCCCGCTGCCCATCCCCCACATGCCTCCCACCCTACTGAGCCCCAGGAGTGAAGGGTCTCTAGCCCGATGGCTCGTCTCTCCCGATGTCAGAAATACGTGCCTTTCAAGCACGTCTCGTGTGGAATTTGGAAGTCTTTTGAAAACAGTTAAGTGCTGACCGGACACCTGGAAATGCAGAAGAGATCGGCCTCCATTTTTCACAGGCTGAGAAATTTCAGCCCCAAAACGTCATGTCAAATTCCCAGGAGAACACAGCAAGGTCAGAGAAATCATTTTTGGAGCCATTCGGAGCCAGGTTGTATATTCGCTTTAAAGAATCAACTCTCTTTCTAACTCTTCGGAATTTTTAATGGAAGTTCTGCGACCCACACGTGCTAACCTGTTACAGGCAGAACGTGACACGGTCATAGCTGAGCGTCTGGCAGGGAACAACTTGGCTTAAATCAACGCCTGGCTGTTGCAGGACGGGAGGGCGCGTAGGGTAAGAGCTGCCTCCCCCGACCTGAAGTCCTGTTGTGTTTATCTTTGTCAATGAAGGAGAGAGGGGGCAGGTCATTAACTGCTAAGGGCCATGAAATTGTTTTCGCCAAACGGCTGAAAAAATTCTCAAATGTCACAGGAAGACAGAAAATAGCTTTGTTTTAGTTTTTTGTTTTTTAATTCAAGGTAAACCCCGACCGATGCCCTCTGCAAAAGCTGACCTTAGCACTTCCAAATATCATCCCGATGGTGAATATTTTACCTAAACAAGCAGCTTTGTTGGTGTGGAAAAGGGAACTTAACAAACGTACTGACAAAAAAAAAAAAAAA